TCGTCAAAAATATTGTTCGTATTTTCAAAGCTGCATATTTTCTAAAATAATGAATTGATTTTCAAAAAGTAAGAATCGATGTATAGAGAATTAAAAGCCCTTTCTAATGACCCCCCACTTGACCCCCATTCCCATTTGAAAAAATGTAGGGGATAGCACCCCCACTTAGGGGGTTGAGGATTTTGGTATGCTTTTTGAGCCAAAAGTTGTCCCCCTCAGAAACAAATTTGACCTATTTTTGGATTTTGCGGAAAAGTTCTACCCTGTAATGCCTTGCGGTACGTTTTCGATGGGCTACCCTGTATAATAACAATAAGTGGATGCTGACTTCAAACAAAATCATTTTCATTTTTGTGCTTAAATTATATGATATGGATGCAGACGATATATGGTTTCAACAAGATGGTGCCACATGCCATGCAGCTCGAGAAACAAATCAATTATTGTATCATTGAGTCATTCAAATTTCCCGTTTTGATGATCAGAATTGCTCCCTCCAGATCATACGATTTAACGCCGTTGGACTTTTTTCTTTGGGGTTTTTTTGAAGCCTAAGGTTTTTTGCCAACAAGCCTACGACTACCCACGCCTTATAGGAGGAAATTGAGCGTTGTATCAACAAAATTCAGAGGATTTATGCAAAACGGTCATAAAAAATTTCGACAAAAAGTGCGTGTGTGCCAGTAAAGCCGTGGAAGCCATTTATCCGATCCATTCCGATTCCATACATAACCCTATATTGTATATGTTACTGGCCAAACCCGATTTTAGGACGAACTAGTTTCTCCTAGACCAAACCAGTTCATCCTTTATGCGATACGAAAAACCGGTACAGACTAGGCTAAACTGGTCCGTCCTATGGCCGATAGGCGAAACTAGTTTAACCTAGGCTGAACTGGTTGAGCCTAATATAAATAAGTACACTTCAGGATAAACTAGTTTTGCCTAGTCTATTGTAATAGGGAATAGGAATAATAAACACCAGAACTAATAAAATCATGATGCATTTATTAATTAAATAACATCAATTTTACTTATTTTTGCAGGGTGTACTCTGATGACATTTGGAATTGCAGAGCACCTGTTTTTTTCTTGCAATTGCACCTGTTTGTCGAACAGTTCTTTACGCAGCTGCACCTTACGAATGTTTAGTGGCTGCAGTCCTCAGAGATATTTCAATATCTTGGTTAACATCGCCCACCTCTAAAAATGTCTGAATGCAAATGTCGAATTTAGTTCTGAAAAAAAAAAAACAAGTCAAAAGTAATATAAACTTATCAGAAAAAATTAACAATCTAGTGAGTAAAAAATACTTGTAAAGTACCTGCAATATAATTTTTGCAATACACCATGTTTGGTGCCAACTTTGTAAAGGCCCTCATCATTTCTCTGAAGAATTACTCCAATGATGTTTCTGAGGTCACCTCTGCCTTTGTCTACGTCTGGTATTGGTATAGTAATATTGTCTCACATGTAGGCAGGTGGATGGGATTTGTCCGAAGAGGCTTTCATTTTTTTGCTTGCTTTTCAAGATTTTCTGCCGCCGCTTTTCTAGCTTCTTGAATGTTCTGTGTGTCAATTTCCATAACACCACCATCACCATCTTCACTCTGGTTACAATTCGAATCATCTTCGATAACTTTTCTAATGTCGTCCTCATCCTGAATGTCATTTATTATTTCTTGCGGCAACGATGAAGTCGAAAGCCCTACTCTAAGCTCAATCCCAAATAAGGCCTTGTAAGGCGATTGTTTTATACCTGAGTGGAAGGCGCCGTTTTTCATGAACTGGACATATCTTAAGCCCTCCGACCATTTCATTGAATCGTTGTCCTTCAACCAAGAACTTATCATGTTCTCTATATCTTGATTAGCACGTTCAACGGAACCCTGACTTTGACTGTGCCTTGGTTTTCCATGCACAATTTTAAGTTCTGGCCAAAGAGAAGCGAGCTCACTAATCACATTATTAACAAATTCTCTACCATTGTCAGATTGGAGAATGCACGGCGCTCCTATAGTTAAAAATATATCATTCAGGTTGTAGGTCACTTCTGCTGCTCTCTTAGATGTTAACGCACGCAGAAGAACAAATTTTGTTAAATGGTCCTGGTAAACCATAATAAATTTAAATTGTTCATCTGGTTGTGTCTGAAAATCGATCAAATCCACTTGACATCTGCTATTCATTTCAGAGTGAAGAATAGGCTTTGAAACTAATCCCCTCTTCTTTTTTGTCTTCTTTTGTTGACACACATCACACATTGATAAATAGAGGCTTATCATCTCTTTTCTGATATTAGCATATTTTTTTGATGTCTCGGCTATCATCCTGTCACGTCCGCCGTGTCCAACCGCCCCATGAGCTGCATCAATCACATCATAAAGCTCATCAGCCTGTAGATAGTATTTTATATTCCCTTCCCCCCGCGCTATAAGTTTTGTCACATCTCCAATTTTTAGCACACCAAACCGTTTCAGTCGTCTTTGTTGTAATGGTGTCCTTTTTGCCGACTTTTCAGCGTCTTCCACTTGTTCAACCAGTTCCGAATATTTATCTGATGACAACACATTATAATGAGAAGACTTTTTAATTTCACTTTCCAAAATTTCTGTTAAAAACTTTTCTCTCCACTGTTTTTGATCGGCTTGTCTACTAGATGTAGAAGGCTCATCCATGATAACACAAAATAAAACCGTATAATGTTATATTCTTTTACTAATATTTATAACAATAACACGTAACAACTAACACGTCCTCAATTCAAAGCAGAATGAGCGTTTAAAATCAACAAGCAAGTGAAGATGCGGCGGGCGCGCAGGGCGTGAAAAATACGATCGGGGATTTCCCGCATGCACAGGTGTCGATACGTACCCGCTTAAACATTTTTGACTAGGCAAAATTAGAATAGATTAGGCCAAACATGTTTATCCTGAAGTGTACTTATTTATATTAGGCTCAACCAGTCCAGCCTAGGCTAAACTAGTTTCTCCTATCGGCCATAGGACGGACCAGTTTAGCCTAGTCTGTACCGGTTTTTCCTATCGTATAAAGGATGAACTGGTTTGGCCTAGGAGAAACTAATTTGACCTAAAATCGGGTTTGGCCGGTAACATATACATACTTTATGAATCAATTAAAAATTACAATTTTTAATTAAAAACTTGTGTATTCTATCAAAATAACTTCTTGCGTGAATTTTGGGACACTCTTTAAATACTCTTAAAAAGGTATTTTTCAACTTGTTATATCCGAGATTATTCTGTTATTTAAAATAAGCTTACCACCCAATCGAATCTTAGAAGATGATCTATTTGACAAAAATATATATAAAACTTCTTATTGAAAATATAATTTTCTATTTTGTCGGTACATACCCACTGGTCTTGAAAATTTCCTTCTAATACGGCCGGAGCAAATGTTCTGACAGTATTCATACTAGCTCCTGTAAATGGACCCTGCAAAAAATTACATACATTTTAAAAATTATTTACCAAATTATTTGGCATACAACTTCAAATTGATTGCGATGATATCTCGGAAATTCTTAAGGTATAAAAATGGTTGAATTAGGATAAAGCTGAGTAATTTAACCATTCCCGAAGAGGTACTTATTTGAAGATCATTCTTACCCTTCTATTTGAATAAAGAATAAAATTTTCGAAGGACGGTGAAAAATCTAAATTGTTGCCGGTTGTTAAAAGAAGAAACCTGTTTGCACCGAATATCATGTTCTTTATTCTAATAAAGGAATAAAAATGCCTTAAGGTTTGTTTTCTTTGCTACCCTTGTGCCAAAAAGATCAGTCGAGGGTTAATTTTGTAAAAATAGTTTGGTCTAACCAAAAACCTCACACCGAAAAAAGATAAATACAAAATACAAAAAACATATCATTATACAGGGTGTCCGGAAGGTCCTGTCAAAAATAAAGGGATATACAGGGGAGGTCAAAATAGTTGTAATCCATAGAATAAAGAATTCCTATCGGTCTTCCTTGGAATTATTCGCCTTCAAAGAAAGAAGTTTGACAAACAAATTCAAATTATAACTTCTTAGTCGTTACCATGACAAAAATGAAATTTGGGCAAATAAAGTAACTCATAGTAATATTCATTTCCAAGTTTAAACTGATATTCAATATGCCTGAATTATACAGGAGCAGACGAAATTATCCATTTAAATTTATACATCTTTGACAGCGTTGTCAAATTTGACATTCTTCTTTCATAGTTCGATTCCTCTCTCACTTTGCTAAAAAAAGGCATACCGTATATCAGTCGATATCTTGTACAATTTTTGAGAAAATCGAATTTTATTAACAACATAACATTTAGTGTATCAAAATGCGATACTAACATTTTTGTAAAATACTCCTTCATATTTGACATGACATGAATAAAAGTTGGTAATGTTTTGAAAATCTATCTGTTTTTGTCTTCTAAACTTATAATGACTTTTAGTTTCAATAATTTTTTTAAGAGATTAAATTTGTTTGTTTTTTTATGTAGATAAAAAGTAAATTTTGTATTTTTCAAACTAACGAACATATTTACAATTTCTTACAGGAAGGTTAATATTCCACTAATAATTTTGTCAATTCTGTATAAAATCATTAACTGCTCTTAAAAAGATTATGTTTTATACAAGAGTCATAGCATCATTTTCGATAATAAAAATATTTCGAATTAGCGTCGTCAGTGTTGATGGAAATAATGGACATGATTTGCATCTTGATAACTGACAAAATATTAGTGCAAATATTTTAGGAAGGGTACAAAGTTAATATATACCCACATTTATCCTCACACACTCACTAGTTCCTAATAATTTTAAAATACTTACGGCAACCATCGATATTGCAACAAGTACAAATCCGAACCTCAAAGGGACAGAATCAGATTTATCTGCATTTCTCTTATCCCAAACTGCGCAAATGATTATTATCAATATAGTGGTTATAATGGTTTCAATAGCCAGCGCTTGAAGGGTTGTTAATAATGTATTAGGTAGTGTCATACAGAAGCCTGGTTTGGAATAATCTTTTGGAATTAAAATCTGAAATATGTAAAATAATGAATTAAACGATGTTCCAGAAATAAGTACCAGAATTTTATCCACACATTTAACTGATCAGAAACAACTTTTGTTTAGTATTTTTACCGATAACCTCTTAGTTTTTAAGATAATATAATTTTTTTAAACTTTAATTTTTGTTTCCCGCTATTAGTTGAAACGCTTAGTTAATAAAAATAAGCACAATAAACGGGAACTAGATATATTCTTCATGCAGTCGCGGAATTTTCACAGCCGTGACGCAACGAATTTTCACCATAACCAATAGTATCGCAAGGATTAGCCCAGAAGTAAGGGGCTTGTGTGGGAGAGGGACGGCATATTTGCGGCCAATAACGTCTTAGTTGGTAAGCCCTAACCCTATTCAGTGCAGGAATGAGAAAAAACTAGAACATCTTGTTAATTAGAGGGATGGTTAAATGCCGATCACATTGACCCAAGCCAACGTTCTTCCATCTTACCATACCCGCAGGAAGGGTGCCAAATTCCCTTCAACGAATATAGCTGATCACATATTTCTGTTACCCATAGTCAGATGTTTCTTTAACGAATACAAAAATTTGGACAAAATGTGACTTTTCGAGAAAAATATTAAATAAAAAATGTATCTCTTGATTAATTAAATCCTTGGTTAAAATTTTGGTATTTATTTCTAAGACGCCCTGTATAAGTGCCATAGATGCTGAAGATTTCTAAAACTTGTATTTATTCTAAAAAACTAACAGTTAAAAAAAAATTGAAAATGTAACCTTGTTTGTTTCTTTCATCTATTTTATATCCTTAATTCCAGTTTGTGATAAATATGCGGCAGAATGGCTAATAAACAAAAATGTTATCTTTTGGCCATCTATTTGGAAGCTGAATATTCTTTGTTTAACCATTCAAGAGTAGTGTGAGGTGTTCCCTGCATGTGTTGGCATACTTCCTCACTTTTGTCGTAGTTCATTGTGGTTATACGAACAATGCTTAAAAAGGTACATGTATGAGGTGGATGTAAAGATTCTATTGAATGGTCTCTCACACCTCTAAATTTAAACCTGTTTGGTGCTGTTGAAAATGTACTTTTTATTCTACTACTACTGTTAAATTTTTGTTAATTCTTGATATAATAGTTAATTTTACTTATCTTATACTTATAACACCATATATAATTTTACACAAAAAATATTTTTATTGCTGAACTAATTATTTTATTGCAACTGCATATTATTATTAGTTTAGAGCCCTATAACTAAAAAATCGCAGTATTTAACGTAATAAACGAAGATGCACCCTTTCGTTTAAAAATTATAGCATAAAACATGTTCAAAATTTTCCATATCTACGCTATTTACAATTGGTAATTTTTATAACCTTAAGAAAAATACTTCAGCTGTATGTAACTTCTAAATTGTTAATATTCGGACATTTCTAAAGTACGTACCATGGTGATTCAGGATTTTTATGTAGTATCCTATGTACTTGATCTCTTCATTTAGTAGGAGTAAAACCGGCTTGAACCTCTACCCATCCCAGGGGTATGCCGCATACTATATGAATGTGGGAAGAATTATACGCATAGGTATGACAAAAAGATTACAGATTACAAGAAGGAAGAAACATAAAAGGGCCTTCAGTGAGGCGAAAGTATTGGAAATAGAACAACATCTAAATAATATGAATCGTGAACGCTTTCGGATGAGCAGAACCCGGTTAACATTTCTAAAGAAGCGAGGGGAAAACGCGAGATACACCACTGTACTGGCCATAGAAAATATAGTTACTAACGTAGAATTAAATGTCTCTAATATTGCCAATAAACCGCGAAACAGCGCCACGTAACGTTTTGGAAGCTTACTACTACTTAGCTCCTAATGGGTAGGCAACACTTTATACTTCGTGAATTGATTACAGCGCCATCTATCGTATGCAAACGACTTCTCACTTATATCCTCTAATATATTATTTTAAAAATTTTAAAAGTAAACCCTTATACGAATAGGAATAGTCAAGTGTCAATACTTTTGAGAACAGATTATTTAGTTAAACAGAAAATGTAGCGAAAAACTAACATTCAGTACTTTTCTAATTCACTTCTGCTTTGATAACGAAACTAGAAAGAGGTTTCAGAAACGTCATAGTATTATTGTGATGTATATTTGTTTTTCCAGTGCGTAACCAGATTTCTTGGTACTAACCAGGGCCCGAGAACTTATAATTGAAAATATGGGAAAACTGGGAACCACGTGATTTGAGATGGATATACAAGTTGAGGAAAGAGTCTATAGATGTCGCCACAAAGATTTTGTAGAATACCAATTTTGACAATTGCAATTATGAATCATTTCATGTCATTCATATTGTTCATGTTTATTGTTGGTTAGGTTTGGCGAGTGTTGGTGTGTGTTTTATTTGTGTTTTTAGTGTGTTTTATTAGATATTTCATTCACATTTATTTATATAACATAATAATGTCTGATCATCATATAATCACATTTTTTTATTAATAATAAAATGTTTTGTTTTTTTTTTTTTTTTTAATAAAAAATGTGATCAGAGGTAGGTAGTTTTTTTTATGGATATCAACACAACGAAAAATTTAAAGTTGCATAATAAATCTCTATTACAAGAATTAATCAAAGATTGGTTTAGTAAAATTATTTACTTGTAATATTTTTTTATTCACCGTGAAAGCTAATACAATATAGAAAGCACTGAAACTCTATAATCATTTTCACTCTTTTTTTTTCAAAATATGTACTGAAATTTGAAATTTTTTCAACAAACATTTTAAAAAGTTACAGTATCAAAATTATTTCTTATTTTAAGTAGGAAGACTATTAGAGCATTTAAAAGTGTCTTTAATGCTTGAGTGATTTTAATGCTTTTTATCAAATGTACTTATTTTCTCATGGTGACAAAAAAAATTATCTACGTGAAAATTATTTTACAAAATCAATTTCTGAGTGATCTGTGTAGGGTGAGATTTGTTATGTAATTTTAAATTTAGCGGCGGCAGAATACCTAAAACAAATATTGAGTAGGTAGGTATATAGTTGTAGAGCGTACAACTAGATGGCGCTTGCATCTTTTACCGGCTACAGGTAATTTAACTCACTGTATTACCGATAATTCCTAGAAAAGGAAAGCAATAGAAGTTGGAGAAAGTGTCAACAGTTAGCGCTGTTAATGACCACGAAATCTGTTCAAGTTTCCTATCTACAGTATCATTTATCTAGGGTACTAACGTCGAATGAAATCTAACATATGAATAATGAAACTGTCATGGCGGCGTCACATGTTAGTTAGCTTCCAAAATAAAAGATGGCGCAGAGAATGCTAACCCTGTCATTTTGGGTTGGATGGTAATGTAGTTTGGACTTTGCACGTATTTGAAGTTTGGCTTTCGTTATCTTTAGTTTCTTTGGTTATCCTCTGAAAATTGTAAATTATAGTATTGTAAGAATTGTGTTTATAATTATTTAGTGCTTAAGAGTTTTCTATTTGTTATTATATTATACTGGGAATATGATGTGCAAGTTTTAAGCTATATAGTTCTATTAAAAACCAAACCCATATCTTTACCAACATTATGTGGAACACTCATACTCTTGTTACTTATATTAATCGATTAGAAACAGTCCACATAAAATGTGTAATTACATATTATTTAAGTCAAATATAGATAAAAATAATTATGTGTATGATGATAAACACCAACTAATATTTTATGAAACCTTTGATACTTAGATGCTTACAAAATTTTTAATGGTGGTGAATTGCTATCTTTATTCAGTTTAAGACATAGAAAATATAGTGTTAATATTAAGTTTTCTATGGTTTAAAAGTTCCAAACTATATGAACTATTGAATTTAACCCAATATTGTACAAATATTCGGTTATACTCTCCGGAAAGTGAGATTATTATAACAGTTCATGCATAATGTTTATATTTTTACAGCTTACTTGCCAACTTATCAAGTTTATGAAGCAAATGAATTATATTGTTGTCGTTTTTACTTACAATTAAATACATAACAAGAAATTGTTTTAATAGTACATGCATAACAACATTCTGTATAAATCAATTAGGATTTCTTGTAGATACAAAATAAACTTAAAATTATTAGAAAATGTTTTATTTCCTTATCAAAACCATTTACTAAGTATATCTTGGCAAATGTCAAAATTTGAAAAATACTATAATATAATAAAGTAATAAATAAGAAGAAATTGTCTGTATTTATTTGTGGTATTATAAATGTTTGTTATAATTTGGATATTTTGCCATAGTTTGAAGAAAAAAAAAACTGGAAAAATAAACCCTTGTACCGATAGGGACAGTCAAGTGTCAATACTGAAAACTTTTGCCTAATAGTGAGATGCCAGAGACATACATCTACATGTATAAGTCTGGTTACGCACTGGAAAAACAAATACACATCACAATGACACTATGACGTTTCTGAAACCTCTAGTTTCATTATCAAAGCAGAAGTGAATTAGAAAAGTACTGAATATTAGTTTTTCGCTACATTTTCTATTTAACTAAATAATCTGTTCTCAAAAGTATTGACACTTGACTATTCCTATCTGTATAAGGGTATACTTTAAAAATTTTTTAAATAATATATAGAGGATATAAGTGAGAAGTCGTGTGCATACGATAGATGGCGCTGTAATCAGTTCACAAAGTATACAGTGTTGCCTACTCATTAGGAGCTAAGTAGTAGTAAGCTTCCAAAACGTTACGTGGCGCTGTTTCGCGGTTTATTGGCAATATTAGGGACATTTCATTCTACGTCTAGACGTCTTCTGTCCGGTACTCGGTTCTCGGTCTCGGTCTCGGATAATCATTCGATTCCTAAAAGTATTCGAGAACCGAGTTCTCGATTCTTAAAAATACTCTATTCTGCCCATCACTAAACTCATAGTGAAGATGCAGACGCACCCCAAGCCACGCCCTCTGCGGCAGTACTGATGTCATCGACTACGTAAGCGGGAGCTCCCACCACACTCCGATTATTGCACTGCGTAGGACTAGATGCGCGCTCATCTTAACCCACGCTATAAGACTGGTGACTAGGTCGCAAGAGATCTCATTGACATAGAACCCGCACGTCGATGCCGTAGTGCGCATAGCGAGGACGGTGAGGGAGAAGTTTTAGCCGAGCAGTATTTCAGCCACAGCTAACGTACGCTGGGACCGCATGGGGACACCCAGCGAAGCATGCCGTCGAGAATATGGCCCTCCGTTGCACGACGGGGCCCCCTGGCATGTCCGCAGCAGCAACATTCGCTGGGATCCACGCCAACCCTGGAAACGATCAGACAGCGCGCGAGAAAGCTTTTCGAGCGGCCTGATTCACAGCGTGATCCGGAACATGGTGGACCCGAATAAGCTGCCGGTAGGAAGCCTTGACATCAACTCCTGGACGTAGCCGACGAAGCCCAGCTAGGACTGGAGAGAAGCCCCACGAACCGCCCGGATCCGGTCGAGTGAGCGATCTGGGATGACGGGGAACGGGCCTGCCCCTGCAAGACGTCCTGGCCTACAGAGATGACGTAAGTAAAGAGCGATAGTCCCGCTCGACCTCGCCCCATCCGAAATCTTTCATCCAGCCAAGGACATTGGCGCGCGCAAAAGATCGGTATGAAAGTACTGACAGTGAAGGACGGGGAAACGTTTAAATGCGACCAGATACAGAGATGTCTGTTAGTACTAATAACAAAAATCAAAATCAATGTTAGGGCAGGCCTAGGGATTCTGACAGCAGGTTTGCCCTTACAAAGCCTAGCCCTAGAACAATAAAGGCAAGTCAAAGTATGTAACTTACGATCAGGTACATAAGCCACGGCATAACAACTCGAAAAATCATGGTGCCTTAAATATCATCACGGTCCCTGATCTTTTACGCTTGCTGTGGATCACCGTGTATAATTCTATTTTACAAACTGGTTAGTGACGTTTGAAAAATTAAACTCGTTTGAACAATCAACTGGTTCTGAGGAATGACAATATGTTACAAAAAAAATATGCAAGCGGTATGACCACACACAATATAACATGTTTATTTACTTTATATATTCGTTGAGGTTCTGATGTTTCCATCGAATGCGTTGTTGGAATGATCAACTTATTCTGACTCTGTAATCTGACCATGTAAGAGGTGTAACAACGAACCATATATTTCAATTTATTTTACTTATTAATATGAATTCTGATATATTCGATCTTCAGTGTAACCGAAATCTTAAAATACATGAAGAGATTGACAACTTTCCACATTTTTGGATATTCTTCAATTTCCCGAAAAGGGTGCTAAGTATCAGGGCATGATTTTCAACAAAAACTGAACGACAAGCGATATCCTTCTTGGGTATTTTTATGATCTCATGTTTTCCTTTTGTAATGTGACTTATTATTCATGTTTTTGCGTAGAATCCAGTGGCGTAACCATTTTTGAAACCCTATGAAACTTTGGGTTTTCAAAATATGCATTAAATTTTCTTTTGAATGACGTTTACATGTAAAAAAACCTACGTTGGAACTACATCGATCTCCAAAGAATTGGAAAAAATCGCTTGGATTTTATATGCATAGATTTTCTATGCATTCATGTTGTCACTGTTTCCATAACGTTAAGGGTTTCGGAGTTATTCAAAATTACGAAATCATTCTTTTCTCACGGGTGTTTATTTACAGATTTATTTATTTGATAGACCAATTTTCAAAAAAGTAGTAACTTGCTCTAAAACACTTTTTATTACAGTCGTAATTTTTACATTTCAATCTTTGTAATCCTATGAAACGTTAACATGTTAAAGGTAAAGTAGTCAATTAACAAAAAATGTCTAAGCATTACTACAAACAGTTTAGACAATAAGTAAAAGTATAATTATACAGGGTGGTCCTTAAGTAATTGTACATAGAAGTATGGTAGATTTATGACTTTAAAATATTACGATTTGAGCCAACTTGCCTTAATAAAATATTGATAATAAGAAAGATACAGGGTGCTAAAAGTGAAATTTCAGAATTTATTTTTCGCAATAATTGAACGTTTTTGGACATTTATACAAAAAAAAAATATCTGGGGGTTTTTTAGTATGAGAAATCATAATTTGGTATCTAATTTAATGTATCTTTTAGAGGGCGCCACATAAGCCACATGTGTGGCATAAATGTACGCTAAACTTTTTTGCCCATCAAGGTAGCGCTCTTTTGGGAAAAAAATATTAAAGACAGGGCAACAAAAATGTATACTTGTTAACAACCTCTAAACTTAACGAGTTTCGAGATAATCTAATTTTAAAAATCGGCTGCATAATTCTTCTTTAATTCATTACCAGAAATATTAACGTAGAAGTCGTATACGCTTATCATGTTTTTACATCAACAGGATGAATATTAACGTAACGTAGGAGTTTGAAAAAATTTTAAAAATTAAATAAAAGCAGTTAAATTACAAGTTTAATAATTATAATTAGAAATGAATTTCACACATATTAAGAAAAGAAAAAACTAAGCTAACTAACATTACAAGTTTAATTATGTCAAAGTAAGTGTTCGATATGTCCACCATTCAAAGTTGGTTGCGAGTATTTATGGGACTTTTATAAACAAGTTGTTTCATTGTGCCCCATACGCCAAAATCGAGAGGATTACAGTCTGGGCTACGTGCTGGCCAAGGGAAATGACTACCACGACCAATTCAGCGTTCAGGAAAGTTGGTCTTTAAATATGTTCTGACTTCTCTCATATAATGAGGAGGTGCACCATCTTGTATAATCCACATATTTTGCTTGAAATTTAGTGGCAATTCTTCCAAAAGATCAATGAAGTCATTTTGTAAAAAATGTAAGTAGTTCTCACCTTTCAAAGTATGTGGGAAATCGTATGGCCCAAAAAAATGGTCACCAATGATCCCACACCATACATTTATTTTGAATTCGTGTTGAAAATGTTTATTACTTAAATTAAAAATACCACGGCGGCTAAATGTTGCCTCGTCCGTAAATAACATTCTATTAATAAAGGTAGGTGGGGTCAAGATTTTGCCTATTTCGGATATCACTTGCAAATTGGTATCTTAATGGTAGATCTGCTGGCAATAAATTTTGCACAGGCGTAAAATGGTAGGGTGATATTTATCGAGGTTTAGTATTTTTAAAACTGAAGTTTTACTGATTCCTAAAGCTGAAGATAACCTTCATGTACTAACTTGAAGATCATCTGCAACGTAAACCAATTTCATCTTCTTGATCAGGTGTAATGATTCTCGGTCGGCCTAAATTATCACGTTTAGGACGAAATGAACCACTTTCGCATAAATTCCTAAATAGATTTTCAAATGTTTGGTGATTAGGTTGCAGCTTGTTTGGATATATTCTGAAATATTCCCATTTCGCAGCTCGTCCGTTGAAATATTGCTGGCAGTAAATATTAACCATATCTCCCATTTCTGTATTAGAAAAATTATTGTCTCGGCATTTTCTGCTATTCCTTAATTATCTGAAATATCCAATTAGCACTTTTTCAAACGTCATAGATTATGAAAACAAGAATGTTTAGCTGTTAAAATCATTCGTGATTTCCGTCTACTACGTTACTATTTCTCGTAATGAATTAAAGAATTATGCAGCTGATTTTTAAAATTCGATTATCTCGAAAACCGTTAAGTTTAGAGGTTGTTAACAAGTATACATTTTCGTTCTTACAATGCCGTGCCTTTAATATTTTTTCCCAAAAGAGGGCTACTTTGATGGGCAAAAAAGTTTAGTGTACATTTATGCCACACATGTGGCGTATGTGGCGCCCTCTAAAAGATACATTAAATTAGATACCAAATTATGATTTCTCATACCAAAAAAACTCCCAGATAAAAACTTTTTTGTATAAATGTCCAAAAATGTTCAAGTTATTGCAAAAAATAAATTTTGAAATTTCACTTTTAACACCCTGTATCTTTCTTATTATCAATATTTTATTAAGGCAAGTTGGCACAAATCGTAATATTTTAAAGTCACAAATCTATCATACTTCTATGTACAATTACTTAAGGACCACCCTGTATAATGGCTTACCTTAAGTAATGCGAATCCTAATATCGCCCCTATAAACTGAGCAATAATATAAACCACAGCCATTATTGGAGTTACAATATTAGTTAACAAAGCACATATTGTTACAGCTGGATTCAGATGCGCCCCTGAAATATGACCAAATCCCTAAAATTATATAATCAAAAATTAATTATTATTATCTAGTTATTTCATATCTAATTTAAATAATATTTAGTGTAACGCATTAATATTTTTGCATGTGATAAAAAATTCAACATATATTTTTGATTTTATACTAACATTACAATTAATTGTTTTATTATATTCGTCTATTAAATTTGAACATTTAGTTGATGTTCTACGTTGTTGTTATTTATTATCTCGGAAATTGTTTGTTGTAGATTAATGAAACTTGAACTAATGACCTAAGTAGGTTAAAAAAAATCGTTGAATTTTAATACAAATCTGTTAACCAATGGTGCAAATACTGGGGAGACACTGACCAAAAACTTAAAATTTTTACTGAGGATGAGTATATTACAAATTTAATGGTTGTACTTAGTATCTAAATGCATTTCTAAGGAATATGATCTCTTGCATTTTATATTAAAAGACTTATTACATTCGATCAAAGTCGCGTTACACGTGTATAGTAGCTAAAGTTACAGTCGTATTTCAACTTCCGAAGTTTCGAAATTCACCCCACTTTCCATTCCAGACCGAAGAAACGGGCCCAATGGATCCAAAACTCCTATACCCAAACCCAGAGCGCAGCGTTAACTTTTCGCCTATTTTTCCAAACCCCTCCGAGCAGCATAAACCGTTCCATACACAACAACCGGCACTGCCCCAGAACGACGCTGTACACCACTAGTCCAATCATTATAGACATGAAACAGCCTGATTGGGGAAAAAAATACTATTAGAAGTTTCTCTGCGGAATATTGTTCGGAAACGTGTTATAAACGAAATGTCAAAAAATCAACTCGAGATTAGTTGGGAAACTTTATTTAAACAATGGTTTTTATGGAAAAGTGGTTTTTTGACTCATGTAAAAAACTGTTGTTCATAGCGAAAAAAGGTTTATACAAAAAGGTAGGTATTAAATAAACTTATAAAATTAGACAAATCCGACTAAATTCTGACAATCTGTTTATGCGCGAGAGCTCAAAAATGGTCGAAAATGGCCGTTTTTATCAGTTACTAATAATTAATGCAATTTTCATCGCAGACACTTGTAATTCAAGATTTTTGAAGCTCTTTGCACCTTTAATATGTTGTAAAAATTTCAACCCGAAAGCTTCATTAGTTTGGCATTGGCGGAATTTGTTAACTAAGAAGATGTTGTTTTCATTTTTCCCAAGCTCACAGGCGTTGTAGAGTTTCGATCATTAGTTGCTTTTGTACCTAAATAATTGTATTGACATAATCATTTACTGAGAATTTAATTTTTCAAATTTAATTTGTTTAAAAATGACTGAAAAAATGTTAATATTTATTAAATTGTTGAATAAGTAATTATTATAAAATGAAATAGTAACCTATATAGTTTAGTTAGTACTATTTTTCTTCGAATTTAAAAAAAATCGTTGTTCTAAGTTGATTAGAAGCTGAGATAATTTTTCTTTATTTAATCGCTGTGACGTTAATTATTAATATTAAGAGCTGACATTTGGATACATTAAGAGCTATATTTTCATGCCCTACATTAACATTAAGATGTATTCAACTATTAATTCATTAATTGCAAAAAAGAAGATAGCGACGATGCGTTGTATTACTCGGTCTAGCGAACGAGTGGGGAGAGCAAGGCGGCGCATGCGCGCTGCGCGCCTGGTTACGCGCAGAAATCTGATCGAGCGGTTTCAAATCGATGGAGCTGGAAAAATTAGCCATATCTCGGTTAATAATGAACGAATATGCTTCTTTTTTTAATTTGGGGTAGCGCGAAAATTCATAAGCATTGAAGCTATTGTGTTAACGAAATTAACATTATTTCAACCCGAAATTTTAGGGAAAAAATCGCCTCTATCGATGATTCCCACCGTCACGCCCAAAAATCGCTCCACGCAGCCTAAATCACCCCGAGCAACCCTCAGTCCTGACAACTCGATTTGCGTGCGGTGACCGAAAATTAGGTCCGAATTCGGAAATTTCAAAAATATTATGAAATTCGGATCTAATCAACACAACACTCTGTCTACCATTAATCTGAGAAACCCACGAAGATTCAATATTCCAAAGAGGCCATAACCTAACATCGCCTTTTTCAGCTATGGTTTTGGAAGCCGCCTTAACAGGAGAGATGAGAGATATACACGCTTAAACAAGGCACGCCAGACACCAAATCCACCTTGTGACCGAACGTCGACTCTGGGAATTTCCTGTTCTTTAAGTAGGGACGGAATCCTACTCATCATATATTTTGAACTCTTATACATACAAGATATTTTAGACAGAATAAACAATATTAAAATAGTATTTCCTTAAATATTTAAAGTTAGATTCTCTCCTAAAAAATCGCCCTACAAGTTCATTACCCCGCTCATTAGCTGCAATCCACTCGCCCTCTTACGAGGCGCAGTGTGTAAACTCCTAAAGCTTGCAGGTTTCCACTAGGGGCTTCAGAACCAGAACTTTAAGTGCCTAGACACACAAAAGAGATTATAGAGTCCTAGCACCCGCAGTGATATCCTAAGATTTCATTAGTCAGTCGAAATCCTCAAAAACTTGAACTATAACAGGGTCAGGTGAAACCATACTCGAAGTATTAAGCACTTGAAGTGCAACATCCTGTGTCTCCTGAGAAATTAGAGCATGGACCATTTACCCCAGCATGTCAATACCTCTACTTCAATAGAGGAAAAACGCAGGTTTCAGAGCCATCCACCTCAGTCGAATCATCTAGGTATCCACGGAGAAGGCGCACGAGCCTACTGGGAGCCCCCTTATCGGCAAGCAGCCACCCGGCACCGTTGATAGAAGAGGACCCAGATCAAATCGTTCCGTCCGACACCATACAAATGCTGATAGAAGAAGGTGAAAGACTACCGCCGGTGCCCCAAAGAGCTACGCCACGTGACGCATAGCCCGATGACGGAGCGGCAAATCAACCCGATCCGGTAGCCAATCATGGCGTTCCACGATATTTCTTAATCAAGTTGCTTAAATATAATGTAATTGATTTAGTGACTGTCCAGATGTATATGCAAGCAAACTGTTTAGATAATAATTAGTTTTATTTGTGTGATTGGAAATACATTGCAAAAATTCGTTACTTAATTAATAAGTGTGTTTTGTTTTTATCTAATGAATTAACATTAGAAATTAACAGTAAAATGAAGAAAAAGGGAGAGGCGAGTGACTAGCTGGAAGAAATAGTCATGGCACGATGGACCATAGATTATGGACATGGACATGGACATGGACATGGACTATGTTATTAAGGTCGGTGAAATACTTGTGGTAGTGCGTTTCATTTAAAGGTATGAAGGCTTCGAACATAGCGGTGTGTGGCAGCAAAATGGGCGGTTCTGTAAACCCTTTGAAATTTTATACTACACAAGTAACTAAATCCACTTACTTGATTTACTAACTTGCTTTATCTCCTGTACACGTATAACTCCGCCTTTATTCAACTGTGCGACAAGCTTACTGTCAATGAAAAGATATCAAAACAATTAAATTGAATATTAAAATAATCGATAGTATTTGCAAATATTTACATTCATTGATGTAGAAACTCTGAGATTCTTAGGTAAGGATTCACTTATGCGATGGATGCATGCTCCCGACATATGAGTATTGCAAAACTATGCCATAGCTATGTCAGGCTGTAGCATCTAGTGGGCAACAATACGATGAGTATTATTCAGTGGTCAAAAACTAATTCAACCTTCTCATCAATCATTTTCCCGGATATTTTGCAAAAACCTCTCCTAATTTGTTCATTTAGGTCAAAAATAATACGGAAAAGGAACGCTGCCTATTATTTTCTGAAAAGTGCTTTCTTTATTAACTAATACCCGCTTTCATGACTGAAATAGATTTATTAAACTCTAGATTGAACTCATAACTACAGTAATAATATTTTCGTGTGTGAAAATTATATCACTATAGTACATTACCAAAATCGTAGTTCAGTCGTAATAATAATAATTCACAGTTCCTGTACTTAACTCGGTTGTTAAATCGAACTTTCGCTATTACGCTGATACAGACTCTGCATTAATTACGAGCCACATGACCAATATTTTTTTTTGGACAGTAATTATATTTCTTTTGCGTTGGCAATTAAATTTCGGTAAAATTAAAACAGTAAGATCAAGATTACATTGAAACACAACATTACGTTTCACCGACTGGTGATTGGTGCAATCTTTCATAAGGTGTTAGGGATTTTTAATTGACAGTACCAACCTTAAAATGTTGGTATAGCCTAAGTTCGGCAGTCACGTAGCTTTTAATCCCTTAGGAAGGTTGTGTACAAAATAAAAACTCATATTCGGAGATAAGGTTTGAACAGCCTTGATATCCTTGACAAGCATTTGAAGGATGGTCTATAGTTATATACATTTTTAAATAATTACATTTTTCAACATCCTGTACTACATTTCACGAGATCCATTTTTTGGAAATTAAATTTGTATAAGAAATCCTAGTGACTTATTCAATTCGTTCGCACGCGTTGTAACATTGCCACAAAAAGAAGTCGAAAGGGGTGAGGTCCGGGGACCGGGAGGGGGTCTTCTACCTAGGCTGCCGCGGCCTATCCAGCGATCGGGAAAAGTAATGTTTAGAAAGTCGCGCACTCTCCGAAAAAAAGTGAGCGGGGTCCGAACACATCTTCCAATAATTCCGGCAAGCGATTTTGCAAAAAATCTAGATATGAAGTACCGTCTAAGCGTCTAGGCAATTCAAAAGGTCCTATTAAAGTGTCATTGACGATACCAGCCCACATGTTCACTGAAAACTGTTGCTGAAAGGCACCGCGACGTATTTCGTGTGGATTTTCAATAGTCCAGTGATGAGTGTTGTGGTCGTTACGTACACCATTTCGATTGAGACATGCTTCATCTGCAACAAGTATTTGCGCTGTAAATTGAGGATTTCTTGCATGTTCTTGAAGCAAACATTCGCAAAAACCTCGACATAGTGGAAAATCCTCAGAAGTAAGCGCTTGAACACGATAAATATGAAATGAGTACAACTGATCTTCTCGTAATGTCCGCCATACAACAGGATGCGAAATATTTACTTGCTGTGCGATATTTTTGGTGCTACGATGCGGATCTTCGACGAGATCTAAAATCATCTCCTAAGATTCTTAGTGGTCGCCCTGGGCCACCGTCGCGACCTCGATGCGGTTGTACTTCACCGATGTCCTCTCTTTGCGCTACAGCAACAAATGTTCGCGGTGCAGGCAGTGTTGTTCCTACCCTAAACATTTTGGGTACTGAGAGACATTTAGTTTGGGTACTAAATTTGCTCAATTGGTACTAAAAATACACTGTAAAACATATTTTACTTTTTTTGTCTAGTATCATAGGTTTTATAAACTTTTCTACCTATTTATTGTTAATACAACAAAAATAATTACAGTTAAGGGGAAACAAAGTACAGAAATTATATTTCTAAAATATTCTTAAGGTAGGTACCTACTTTACCTACTTAATTTGTTTTAAATAAACTTATTTATTTAAGTAACTACTCATACATACAAAATTTAAAATATGTACGTCAAAAATGCTACTATTCATACCTTTAGTAGTATCTTTATAGGAGTATTAACTTTATCTAAAATTGCAAAACAAAACAACAAATGATAAACTACAGAATAATCATTGAAAGCAGATATTACAAAACAAAAGGTAAATGATAATTTAACAGAAATTAATACATATTTACGAAGTAATCAATCAAGGTAGTTAACTTATTGGCCACGGTACAATTCGATTCGAATGAAACCAACGACTACTTGGCGTCTCAACCACTACGTAGCGCAGACAGTAGATAACAAGAATCTTCGAGCATTGCTCTAAGATAAGAATGTCAGATGCTTCAAGGTACTAAATCAGTCAGGGGAGTACTACGGTACTAAATGAAGCTTGAAAGTACTAGATTTAGTACGATAGTACTAACAGGAACAACACTGGGTGCAGGGGTACGTCGTTCAGGATATCTTGCACGGTACACTTAACAAACTCTGTGGACATTTTCGTTTGCTTTGCCATAAATTATGAGAATATCATAATATTCGCAATTACTTAATATGCGCCATTTTCAAAAGAAAACTTGGAAATACGGCTATTAAATGTACTCTCGAAAAACAGCACTACAACAATGTATTACAAACTGACTTTCGAATACAGTCTGGCTTCATAAGAAACCTACAAACTCGTAAAAAGTGTTACAGAATTTTTGTAAGTACTCGCCGCTATAAAATACATGTATTTCAGCAGTTCCAAAACAGTTTTAAACACATTTTTAATTTCCTTATTTCTCTATGACCCCAATCTTACATACAAGTTTGTGACATCAGTTAACTCAGTTTTTGCTCATTTTTTAACCCTTCAAATTTTTGACATCAATTCATTAACACCAAGTATATTACATTCAAATGATCAAGTACATAAGAAGTCCTTAGCTTAGAAGTTACAAGAGACATGTTTCACGGAATCCCATTCGAAATGCATATGCTTACCTATTAACTATTATAACTGTACTTATTTACTAACTATTATTAGTTATTATATTACTTAAATGCACTTATAATTTGTATGTAAAGTTGTAAGTTATATGTATACATATGTGTACGTCGTCTTGTTTTAATGCTGAAAGTCTATAGTTAAGTGAGCTTCTCAATTTTTTAGAATGCCCACTGTAATGCAAATAGTGAGGAAAATTGAAGAATAAATATTTCATTTTATTCAATTTGGAAAACGTTGCAAACACTAAATTACATGTAAATATGTAACAATTTTATATTTTTTAATATAAAAAATTCAAATATTATTTAAGGATTTCAATTTTTTAAGTAGATGTCTAAAACCTTAATCATTATCATATTATGTTTCATTTCATCAACGGTTCATTAAGTTATTGACAAGTTTTATTAAACTATTGCTTAACAATAAAACAAAAGCTATGATAATCACAACCAAATATAGGTATAATAATATTGATATTAATGGTTGTCATTTAACTATCGATAATGAAAATATTGAATTTGTCACTGAAATTAAATATCTTGGTTTCTTGATTGACAATACACTCTGTTTTAATACTCATTTTAAATATGTTTATAATAAAATATCTAAGAAACTATTTTTCTTTTCAAGAATTTGTAATCATTTAACTATGCAATCTAGAGTTACATTATACAATACTATAATTAGACCACATTTTGAGTACTATCCCTCAGTACTTAGTATGCTTAATTTGAATAAGATATCACAGTTGCAGAAGTTACAGAGCCGAGCCATGAGAATTATATTAAGATGTAATAAATATACTCCCATTGATTTTATGCTATCTGCTCTTCAGTGGTTTTCTGTTGAAAATCGATTATACTACCACTGTACAATGGTTTTTTTTATATAAGCTTATAAATAATTTGTTACCTGATTATTTTAACCAGTAGGTATATTATAAGGAATCATGAAATTCATGACTACTTTACTAGAGGTGCCGATAACTTCCATGTTTGGAGAACAAATTATTGTCATACAATGAATTGTCTATTTAATGAAGGGGTTGTTAATTTCAATAGATTACCAGTAAAGTTAAAAAGATGCCAGTCACTTGTTGCATTTAAAAGAGAGCTTGTTAAATACATAAAAGTAAATAATATGTGTTAATTGATCCTTAGTTTG